AAATACATCATTAATTATTATATTTTAAAATGAAAAATTTTATACTATAATATTTTCATCTCTATAATACATGCTTTTCAAATTATATCAAATATTATGGCCATGTTGTAATACAACAATGTGCACAATACATGCTTTTCAAATAAACAATAAGAGACCAATTATTCTTATTGAAGCTATGAGAAGGGATAATTATCAAAGAGATGAATTGAAATAAATAAAATCTTAAAAATCTCTTGTATTGCTAAAAAAAAATTATATTTTTTCAAAATTTGTATAAAGTTGAAACTAAGATGGCTATTGTCAAAGACAAGAAGTTCAAGACTTTTGAAAAAAGACTAAAGATTAAAAGAGCATTGACAAGAATAAAGAAGGCTTTACTCTTGCTTCCATATATACTATCTAATTAGGAGCCATGTCGAGATGTTCTATAAGATCTTTGACACATATTCAATTTGTGAGACAAGATAAGATAAGACAACTTGCAAGACAAGTTTCTTATGTGTGTGCTACATAATTAGCTTGTATCACAATCTACTATCATGTGTAATACGTGTCTAAATAGTTGGCCAAGTTTCTAACCTATTAATTAACTACAAACATGTCTAGAGTCAAATTTTTGGCTCAGAAGCTCTACTAAAAAATATCATCAAATCTAATTATATTTATCTTTTATTAAACTTTTTTGTTTATATATATATATATATATATATCCATGAAAATACCTCCTAATTAAAGAAAGAATTCTATAAGGAATAGTTATCATTTATTGAAGAAGTACAAGATGCAATAAATAATATTTGCCACATACTACAATCTTTATTTCATTTCAAGTTGGTTGATAACTCTCATCAACTATTCATAGTGTTCCATACTAATATAGGAAGTCCACCTTGATACTAGATTATAATAGGTACCTTTACGATACTAATCAAATAAAATATTTAAAACACATTAAAAGATAGTTTATACATTCAATAACATCACTAAATATTAGAAGTCTCTTCTAATATTGTGATACTAAAAAAATTATAATTCACCATTTTATGCTTAATAAAAGTAATCACATGGTTCATTTAAAAAATTTATGAAATTTCTACCATAAGAATGTCGATAAGCTTGTGAAGATTTGTACCTATTACAAAACTATTTTCATTTTTTTCAGACAGTAGTATTGCAAAGTTTTTCTTTTGAATACAAATCAAAAAAATTTAGAAGTCAAACTAGACGAGAATAATTTGCAATCTCTAATATCAAGTAAAAATATCTACACAAAAAAATAATTTACTTCTTTCAAAAATAAAAATCAATGTTAAAAAATTAAAAATATTAATTTAAAGGTAGATAGTTCGCAATCTTCAAAATACAATGATAGAAATAGGATAATCTACTTACTTCTAAAACAAAATAAGAATAGTAAGTTAACATTCTTATCATACTATCAAGGATATAAATCATAACAAATAAAATCTCAATATACTCTTGTGATATATATATATATATATATATATATATATATATATATATATTCACTAAAATTTATATTATAATAAAATTGCAATGACTATTGCCAAAGATAAGAAAACTAAAGATCCTTGAAACAAATCTAAGAATTAAAAAGACATTGATAAGAATGAAGAAGGTTTTATTCTTGCTTCTACATATACTATCTAACTAAGAGTTATATGGCAACATTCTATGGGATCTCTAATTCATGTTTAATTTGTGAAAGATGAGTCTAACTTGTAAGACAAGTTTTTCATATGTGTGCCACATGGTTAGCTTATATCACAAGTTACTAAAATGTGCAATACATAGCTAACTTGTTGGCCAAGTTTCTAACCTATTAATCAACAATAAACACGTCTAGAGTCAAATTTGCATCTATAAAGCTTCTAAGAAGCTATGCTAGAAGATATTACCAAATCTATTTATATTTATCTTCAACCTAATACTTCTTATCTAGATAAATATGTATGTCTATAAAAATAATATTTAGAAGTAGATAAAATAATAGATTAGAGTATCAAATGGATGTGATGATAACATTCTTAAATAGAGATCTTAAAAATAAGATATATAAAAAAATAACTTGAAGGCTATGTTTCAAAAAACAAATAATCTTTAATGTATAAACTATTTAAAATCTATATAGACTTAAGATATTTCTTAGGATATAATATAAGAAAAAAAAATTAAAATAAATACTTTTTTTCATAATACATAAAGAAAAGCTATGTAAATCCTAATATTTATGTGATGAAGAATTTCAATAGATTTTCCTTATTATTATATTCATATATACATGATTTAATCATAGTTTTCAACAAGAGACTTCTTTTTAAAGAAAAAATTACTTAAGTATAAGATTTAAAATGAAAGATTTGAAATAAAGGATTTAAGATGAAAGATTTGAGATGAATCTATTATACGATAGGTATAAGAAATATAAGGGATCAAAAGAGTCATATAATTTATTTATCCTAGAAAAAATATTTAAAAAACATCCTTAAAAGATTATGCACAAAAGACTATAAATTTTTAAATACACATTTGGTTCCTAATAAAAATTATTAAAAAACATGAATTTACAAATTCATGAGAAATTTGAAGCAATGAAGGATATTATATATTAATGTGTAGTTGACAACTTAGTTTATGCAATAATAAACACTTAAGTTGATATTACATATCCAATGGAAGTTTTTAGCTAATACATGGCAAATTCTAGCCTACAACATTGAATAGTCATTGAGTAGGTTTTTTAATATTTAAAAGATATATTAAATCATGTGTTAAAATAAAATAGAGTCTCTTCAAATTTTTAAGTGATTGATTACAAACAAGTAGATTATACATGAGATATTAATATTTCTCATTTAACTATTAGCTACACATTTTTATTGGCTGGTGGTACTATTATTTGGAATAACAAGAAGAAACTAATGATTAAATTGTCTACTATTGAAAATATAATGTATGGCAACTGTTATTAAAACAAAAAAAAATAGTTTAGCTTTACAAATTATTTAAAGCCATTGGATTTTCACAAGATAGTCATATGATTAATTTTAGTGATAATTAGAGTTATATTTTTCTTTTGAATAATCATACACTCCATGTTGACACTAAGCATATTAAAATTCAACATCACTTTGTTCATGAGAAGATTGAAAATAATAAAATTGACTTAGTTTTTTGAAAGAGTCAAGACATTGTTGCGGATATTTGTCCAAAGGTTGAACTTATGAAAAACACTATAAATTCAAGAAAATGATAGAAATCATCAAATTAAATTAGTATGATATTTTCATAAATAAGAGTATTAAAAGAACGATTAGATACATGTATAATTGTTTTAGACATTATGTGTCTGACTAGTTTGTAGATGGATTGATATTAGGCTATTATCAATTGACAACATCAAGCCGCCATAAGTTGGTGGTACTACCATATTGTCACAAGTGATTTAATAAAATAATTCTTTTCAAGTCAAATGGATCTTATTGGAAAGCTATTGTTAGTATTTTTGTACTAAAAAGTCCTTGCTATTAAACTACAAACATGTAATATAAGAGCCCAAAGCCTAGGTTCACTTCATGCAATTAATTCTCTTCAATCTTTCTTGGTTAAGTGGTGAGCTCATTGTATATTTGCATCATTAAGTTTCTATCTTAGCAATACACTTCATGTTTTCTCACAAAATGTACCAAGAGAACACACATGAGTTCAATTTGAATTGCGTGTCAAAAACAAAACAAAACAAAAACATAAAAGAGTGCTTACAACATTGAAGACATCTGAAAATGACCTGTATTTTAATTATTTATTTGCTTAGACCTATGGATTGTCTCTATTAAATTAAATTGTGTAATTATGCATACAAATTAATACTCTGAATCTGTTTCAGAATTTCAATCTGAAGATTAGATTGAGAAAGATGTTTTTCAAATCTCAGTGAATAAAAAATCAGGCCATTGAGACAGATGATAACATAAAAAGAAAAAGAAAAAGAAAATTCTTCAATAACTTTTTTTCTCGTATATATATATATAAAAACCCCAAGAGGCCAACATTGTAAAACACTTCAGAAAATGTGATGGATGCCATGTCAGACATGATTGAGAACGGGACGGGAACTACTTTGTCATCTACATGGGCAATGGAAGGGAGCTCATCAGTATTTCATCCATCCAGCAGAGGCAACATCTGAAGCTCTGACGAGGCCGACAACGACAGTGAAACAAACTCACCACCACGAAGGGAGAGGACGACCATTCTGACTCAATCATTCTGAGCCCCATGTCGTCCGTTATGTTGTTGCAATTGTTCTGTACAGAGCTCATAGCCCACGAATCACCCGGACGGACAGTTAACAGAAGAAGCGTAACCAGGCGAACGAACGAGTGCGTGAGTAAACAAACGGATGACTTTTAATTTACACTAATGTAAAACTGATCAAATGATAAGATACTCTAATCATAAATCTCTCTAATGATTCAAAATAAAATAAAAATGCCTTAATATAAAACTAAAAAAATAAAACTTCACCAAAATTTAAGTCATTACCTTCCAATGACTTGCTACAACCAAGGACAGCCCCGGTGTTTGTAATGAGTTCAAAAATGAAACCACCGAAAAAAAAGTAAGCAGTGATAAAATGTTCAGAGCAAAATCTAAAAATTAAAAAAAAAAAATTGGCAACCAACGCGATAGAGCACCTCCGCTCACACTTCACGCCAGAAAACCGCCCCATAAACTAAATACCAAGCATGACTTCGAAAATTCCGGTATAAACCAAGAAAAACAAAAAAACAAAAAAAAAAAAAATCACTACAAATGACATATAATTAAAATGACGAAGCAGTAAAAACACAAACAAAAACGTTGAGACAGCTAACTGGACTGATAGGTTCACGGATTCAGGAAACCAGTCTAAAACCCACAAAAACACACAGAAATGCAGGGTGGATTATTCGGGTTGGAGCTTTGAGATGGATGGGCCCCCGCGAAGGGGGCAGTCCAAAAAATAGAGTATACCGGTATGTGTACCCAGCGCACGGTATTCTTTAGTAAAAGGCGAAAGAATAGTTCGCTCTGAGCTGAGCACCCGGCTCCTTCCCTGCTCTCGCCTCCGACCGCGCTCCAAATACCCCAGTCGCAACGGATTCCGCACCACCCATATGGGTTATCTGAACCCCTCGCCCGTGACCCGGCACGCTCTGCCATCATTCCGGCGAAGCAGCACAGCTGGGGTGAGATGAGAGGCTCGCGACGCGATGCTGGCTGATACCCGTGGTCGCTCCTGTGAGGGGGACGGAAAGCCCGATGCCGTGCATCCAGAAACTCCGTTCCCCAAAAGAGGAGCAGCGTGTTCCACGCAAGTCACAGGGGCGTCAGGCCCTCGATCCGCAGAGCCAACGGGTTGCGCTCGATGGCAATGGCAGAGGCGTCACATGGGCATGACACTTGACGATGTCCGGTGGTGGTGAGGGGTGGGTGACGTAGGTGAGGTTTTGTGCGCGCGTGAGGTGCAGCGCAGAGAGGAATGGCTTCCGCTTCGACGCCGGTGCTAGAGTTGGCTGGGCATCAGCGGAGCACTTGTTGAGTGCGGAGGTGTGTGGTGGGCGTTGCAGTCGGCGACGCGAGCCCAATGTGTGTGTGAAGTGCGTGAAGAAGGGTGTGCAGGTGAGGGTGACGGCGGAGGGGGAGTTAGAATGTGGGCGGCGAGCGGCGTGCATGCGAGTTTTCGTGGTGTAGTTGGTTATCACATCAGTCTAACACACTGAAGGTCTCCGGTTCGAACCCGGGCGAAAACATGTGCGGGGATAGCTCAGTTGGGAGAGCGTCAGACTGAAGATCTGAAGGTCGCGTGTTCGATCCACGCTCACCGCACCGCATTCGCATTTTGTATTCCCTCTTTGCGCCATCCCGCACGCGCACATGCCTTCCTCGCCCACAACATCACCGCACCCTGGCACAGCGGAGGTTGAGGTTGCCCCTCCCCGCTCCCCACTCCCCACTCTGCTCGTGTACCTCACTTCACCCTCCTCCGCGCCTCAGCATACTCTCCCACTGCTACGCTTACTTTTCCCACCCCAACATGGACCATCACACAAACCATCCATGGCATTCCAAATCTCTCTTACCAACCACATCACTCCTCCTTCCATTCCTCTCCTATCCCTCCCATCCAAACACCACCCTCTACACCCACTTCCTCCAAGCTTCCAACACTCATCATGGCAATGGCCTCCTCTACCCATCTTCCCATAACAAACATATTGTATGCATCTCACCTCCATCAAATGAAAAAAACAAAAATCTCCAAGATGTCAATGGGCTCTCAAATGGATGTATTAAGTTCACATTAAGAACATTTTCTAGAGATCTTTGAAGCAAATCCCATACTCATCAAAACAAAATATGGCACAAGGTGTTGATGCCTAAGTCAATCTTTTGAAATACACAAATTACATGCATGCCTCATTTGGATAGCAATAGCAACCAATTGGGTTGTCCAATTCAAAGACCATTTTTGTATATTTCAAACAAACAACTTTTTTTCACATTTCTTTGATATTTGATTTTGTAGCAACAAAGAACACTCATATTGCCTTGGAGGCAAAAGAAAAGTATTGCATGATGTGATTATTCGAAATATGCATAGAAAAGAGGTCAAAAGTATAATATGAATGATTCTAAAAATACTTCCAACTTGAGATGAAGTATGAAGCTCTTACAACACCTTTCAAACATTGAAATGTTTGATATGTTGCACTTTATAATCAAGTTGATGCATCCATTGGAGATACCATTAACATATTGGAAATTATTTTTCTACTTTTGTTGTTATGAGATGTTTATAATGGAGGAGAAGGAAAGGGGGGAGGGATTTCAAACATGGCACTTTTGTAAAACCAAATAATTAAAATTTAACACTTGAGTTTTTTTTGGATTACTTAAAATATCAAATTCAAATATCATTGTTCAAATTTTATTACCATCTTTAAGTTTATGAAATATCACTTGATATTTTGGTAATGTATTAATGCCAATGACAAAAACTTGATAGAAACAAATAAATAAGTGAGACTTTTTTCAAAGAAAGATGAAAAAATAAAAATAACCAAATATGTATATTAAAAAAGAAATTGGAATGGCTATTGCTAAAAGATAAGAAAACTAGAGACCCTTGAAACTAGACTGGAAGCAAGAAAGGAGTTGACAAGAGTGAAGAAGGCTTCACTCTTGCCTCTTTATATACTATCTAACTAAGAGCTACATGGCGACGTTCTATAGGACCTCCAAAAACGTATTGACTTTGCATAACATGTAATTTAACTTGCAAGGCAAGTTTTCTATGTGGGCGCCACATAGTTAGCTTTTCTTGCAAGCTACCAACATGTGTGGCACGTGGTTAACTTTTTGACCAAGTTTCTATCCCATCAATCAAATATAAACACATGTAAAGTCAAAGCAAAGTCTATGAAGCTTTTGAAAAGCTTCTTTTAGAAGATATTATGAAATTAGTCTACTTTTACTTATTTCTACCTATTCATATCACGTAGATAATAATTACAATAAATATATGTCTGTGATATTCTTCCCCCCCCCCCTTCTAGGGACGAGTTCCATGAGGGGTGGTGATCACATGTCAAAAGAATCTAAGATGCGACAAATTGTATTGGCCACATACTCTGATCTTTGTTCTCTTCGAAGGTGATTGATAGGGCCTTTCAACCATCAATAGTATCCCATATTAGAATAGAAAGACCATCCAATTATTTGATCGTTGTTGAGGCCTTCATAACTTCTTTCAAATAAAACATTTGAAACACCGTCAAAAGTTGTTCCTACTTCTAGTAAAATCACCAAACATCGAGAGTCCCTTCAAAGGTCATGATATCAAACGCATTGTATCCTGCCATCTATTTGAGGAAGAATATGTCGTACTTAAGGATCTTCATCTCGATTGTATCATCTTGAAGGTTGTAACAATCATAATGTCTCATTTGGCAGATCAGCAAACGAAGGCTCTTGAATCAAATCCATTGGTTGTTGGTTCTCCATCTTCTTAGTGTCACAAATACACAAAAACCACAAATAAAGATAGAAGGTAGAATGCAATCTTTGTTGGACCTTATTTCTTTTCTAGCAAAGTCTTACTATTCTTCATCTTGGTTTTAATGGATGTCATCAATGGAAAACCTCCACCGCCTTTGCTGCATTTGTAAGATTTTTTATTGGTTCGCATGTGTGTTTACTAATGTCATATCTGTGCCAATGGATAAAATATTCTAACTCATTTCGGCATTGCCTTGAGTCTAAAACTTCTTCTACTTCAAATTCTTCATAATAATTCACTTCTATAAGAGGAAGTGAGACTTATCTTCTTCTTGGTATGTTGTCTATCTTGTATGGTTCAAGAAGAGACATGTGGAATATAGGATGGATCTTCATTGACTCCGATAGATGTAATCAATAAGCAACTAGATTGATTTGTCCACAAATAGGAAAAATTCTAAGCTTGTAGTAGTCCAATTTATCACAAAGACGAGTAGTCTTAATATTACGATGAAATAACTATACCTTGTCACCTACATTGAATTGTGGTTGTTCTTTTCGATAAGCATTTAAATTGATCTTTTATCATTCTTGAGCTTCTTTTAATTACACCTTCATTATTGCATGTAGCTTTGACAAACGATTTGTCAAATCTTTCGTAGCAGGATTATCAACTTTTGAAAAGTCAAAAGTATCAAGTCGTGGATGATAATCATATTTAGCAAAGAAAAGTGTTTGTTGTGTAGAAGAATGCATTATATTATTATAAGCAAACTCTGCCAATGGCAAGAGGGTTGTCCAATCATCTTGTTGATAATTGATGGTACATCTTAAGTAATGCTCCAAAACTTAGTTTACGTACCTTGTCTGTCCTTTAGTTTGAGGATGCATGGCTAATAAAAGCTTTATGTCTACCTTTAGAATCTTAAAAAGGTTTTTTTAACATCTTGATACAAATTGAGTCCTCTTATCCAATATAATATCTTTTGGTAATCCATAATATCGATAGATATTGTCAAAGAAAAGCTTGGCAATTTTTTCACCTTTGATAGATTTTGTGCATGGTACAAAATGTGTCATTTTGGTAAAACGATCTACTATCATAAATATAGAATCATATGAACCAGAGATTAGAAGATCCGAAATAAAATCCATAGAAACAAAAGACCATGGTTGTTTTGGAATGGATAATGGCTGAAGAAGTCTATAAGGTCAATGACAAGGAGTTTTTGATCTTGAGTAAACATCACAAGATTGTATAAAATCTTTGAATGCCTTCCATATTTGAGGCCACCAAAAATCCTTGGATATTAGTTCCAAAGTTTTATTGTACCCAAAATGTCCTGCTGCTGAAAAGTCATGATGAGCTTGAAGAATACGTAATCAAGCTTCACCTTCAGGAACATATAGGCATCGCTCAAAATATAGTAGATTTTTCTTGAATTCATACTTAGAAGTATGATGAGATTTTAAAGGATTTTCTTTAATATCACAAATAAGAGGATCAAAAGTTATACTTGACTGAACTTGCTTAATAAAAGTTGAATCAACAGTTAATATTGATTTTAATGCTCAAAGATGAAGATGCTCTGGCTTCAAGAAAATTATCCATTGCTTATCAAAAGTAGCATCTCTTTCCTTTGGTGCAAGATAAAATTGTCTAGAGAGTGCATCTAATAAACCTTGTTATTTTTTCAGCCAATAAGTGATCTTGAATTCGAATCTTGACAAAGACATATTTTAACAGGCTTGGTGACAATTTAAAACACGTGTTGATATAAATTATTCAAGGTTCTTGTGATTTATATACATGGTGACTGGACTAGAAGCACCTTCTAAATAATGGCACCATTCTTGAAATAAATCCACATTTAAAAGAAGTTCTTTGTCGTGGATTTCATAGTTGATCTTGACTACTGAAAATTTTCTAGAATGAAAAGCTATTGGATGAAGTTTATCATCTGTTCTCATTTGTGACAATACGACACCCAAAGTAAAGTCTGATGCATCTATTTCCATAAAAAATGGCTTAAAAAAATAGAGACAATA